CCTAGCTCCGCATATTGAAAAACACAGCAACTCCGCTCCGCAGCCTCGCTCCGCTCCGGTGGACAGTCACAGTACGCAACTCCACTCCGCATTAGTCCGTTTCTCGGCTCCGCTGCCTCGCTCCGCTCTGGTGGACTGGCAGCCTAACACGATCGGAACGTTAGCGCCGTAATCGATAGCTGTTTATTTTGCTTTGTTGCTAATTGACCGCCACTTTATTGAGTTACATTAAATAGACTGTGGCCGCTTTTTTTTATTTTTTATTTACAATCTCACTGCTTGTTACAAGAATTGACGTAACGTGGTATCGATTACCACAAAATCTTACACCACAGATAAAATAATGTTAAATTTGTAAATATCTTGAACTGAAAAATGAAGTATAATTAACAGTAATCAAGTAGCAGTTTTTAGTACCATTAAGAATTTCCTAATCTTCTAAATATCTAGTTACGAGCGTCGGTGGCTCAGTTGTCAAGCATTTGACTTGCAATCTGCAGGTCCTGTGTTCGAATCCCGCCATTTACCAATGTGTTTTTTGATTTCCGATTTCCATATGTACATTTATCCGACGTTCTTACGGTAAAGGAAAACATCGTGATGCAACCTGCACATATCTGAGAAGAAATTCAAAGATATGAGTGAAGTCAACCAACCCGCACTTGGCCAGCGTGGTTGACTATAGCCTAGCCATCCCTAACTTAGGGTAGGCTCCGTGCCAGTCGGTGGGGATGTATAGTGAGTTGACGATGAGAATACATGTATGTTTACCCTATAGAAATCCATCGCTAGTTTTCAATATTATTGCAGCTTTATGTTTACAACTTGTTGCTATGCGGAACTATAAAGCTCGTTGTATAGCGAAGTGAAAGTCAAAAGTAACTTTATCTTTATCAGAGGCATTGTCCTGCCGGTCAATTAGTCCGGCGTTTCACACGAGGGCAGAACATTTAACAATGCGGTACTAACCATAGTTAGAACAAACACTGCCAGTACTGCGCTGTCTTACTGCTCTATATCCTTCTGTTCTACTGTCCTTGTGTGGTCAAAAATTACACATAACAATTCTCTGTATAATGAAGTGTACATGAATTTATTTAACGTAAACAACAGCCTATGTTTTCTTCTTTGAATTTTATGAGTTAAATACTTAGTTATTGTTATACCTACTTAAAAGGTAAACTAATTATTTAATGACTAATAAGATGTTAGTAGAAAAGTATTACACGTGTGTATGAAATTATGTGGAACTTAACCAAAGTAATCACACTAAAGCGTAAAAAAAATACAGGATGTCCCTTTATAAGAATGTATAAAACATAACACTTATTTCTTTGAAGAAATACATCATAAATACGAACTAATAACTTCCTATTTATTATTTATATTTTCATTATGAATCAGTGTAATGAATATTGATGAGGGAATCCGGACGACGACCACTCGCTGTAATAAGGAAAGATATATGGGGGCACAAATTAATTAGAATCCTTGGCAATATAAAAGGAAAAGAATAAATTTTGTGTCAACATTATTGGAAAAATAATATAAAACATATCAAAAGAATTCAGTATTCAGAGCACTGACTGAGTGCCAGGACTATGCCAAATGGTGATCTGTATCTTCCTAAACTGTAAACTTTAGAGTTATGATGATACTCGCAGGATTTAAAGAAACTTAGTAGTCTAAGCGTTGTACCGAACTATGTTAAATTCTACATCTACATTTCTACATCTGTGTTAAATTTCAGCGAGATCTATGCAGCCGTTCTGGAGATACCTTCTAAAAAACATCCCAGCATTCATCTATAATTTCGCATTTATAATATTAAATTAGTAAAATTTAAAAATGACAGACAATAACAGACATAGAGATTAATAAACTTTATTTTATTTTCCCCTGGCAACCCTAAATGTCAGTTGTCAGAGCATGCGTGATGGAGCATTCGTTTTCGCTCATAGCACCGCCTTCCTTGCTCTCTAAAGAGTTGTCTAACGCGTCACGCAAATCTCTACATGCATATCTGTCATGTAATTGAACCAATCAATCATTTTGATTGCCACTTTGTAATACTTTCACTTCCCCAAATGAATCATTTCTAATATGCTTTAGTAATTGTTTTTCACATGGATCAAGTAAAACAGTTTTATCTAGCTAGGCGAGTTGGTGGGGCTAAACGTTTTGACTTATGTTTATAATATAAATCATGACTAGACTTCGGATGATAATTTTACAATGATAAAATGACTTTTTTGTTAAATCATTGGTTACAAAATACACGTAACAAGCTAAGGTCAAATTATCGACATTATTTGGAACATAACCTCCATGAAATAGCACGTTTATTGCCCTTTTACCGTCGTAAAGCGTACGTCGAACCTCGACGGCAGGCATCCATCAAATGAGGTGCTTTAGCCAAGTCATCCGCTCAGGTAATGAATCTCTTTAAGGGCTGGCGATAAAGAAAGTAGGTGACGACATTTGCGTCATTATGAAAAAATATTCGCGCTCTTTTTTATGCCTTATCAACACAAATAGCAATAAACAGTAACGTAATCTTAAAGTAAGTCATAATTTACTAATCGTTCAGTCTTTAAAGAAAAAAGAATGTTAATTCACACGTTTTGAAAAGTCATTTTGATTTTTTGAAAGTTCATTAACGGAGAATCAATTTTAAGGTTATCTGTCTTTTATAAAAGAGTAACTTGTTTAAATATTAATCTATTTACTAATTGCTAAAGCAATAAGATGTGTGATGTGGATGGCTACTAAGATATACCGAAGAAAGTATAGGTAGATTGTGTTGAAGATTATACGTAAAAAGGGAGTAAATTTAGATATTATGGCTGATAGAGACGTATAGAAGATTTATAAAGATAAATCTAGATTTTAATAAAGAAAAACTTGCCAAAAATCAAAGCTAATAAGGTAATCGATGCCTTATAATTAGTGCGGATTAGATCCGATCTCCAAAAACGTCTGATCATGATTGATGGTGTTTTTATATTATTACTAAAATCCCCCTCTTGGACTTATCAGTAATGTCCGTAAGGAAGGGGGATTCATTTCGCTAATGCGGTTGACGCCTCGTCTGTAATGCGTAGATAACAATGTTAGAAGCCATTTTCCACTATTAGTACTGTTTTAACAGATCAAAGAACGCATTACAAGATTACAATTATGGTATGGCTTGCCTTGATACAATACTTTTTTAATAATTTTATGTAACGCTCTGTGGACCTCAAATTGCAAACATAATCTCCGAATTAATGCTTCATGGAGCAACTCTTAAACCTCTTTTCCACTCAGCAACCAGTCGTGCGATTTACATCGCTCATGAGCTGTAAAAACAAATAGATGTGACTAGAATTCTGCCAAATTTGAAGGGCCTTAAAGTCTCTTTTCGGTAGTAACTCCAATATAAAGCATCACAGCCATTTCAACATAGATATTTAATTCTAATAATGTTTGTATGTATGTATATGTTTGACAAAAGTCGTAAAAAGCGTCCCGGAATGAAACACGGATCCAATTAACTTTTTTCTATCGCTGTGCAAATTTTCGCACGTATCAACCTTGAGCGAGGCTACACGGATGCCTACTCCAACTTTATTACTCCGTGATAATTTTTAACACCTCGTCATTGTTCACGGTAGTCCGTATAAACGTTTAAGTTTTGCGTGTGTGTAAAAAAATATACAGCGTTCAAAAGTATTTAAGTATAAAAGCAAAAAATGCTTGCTCTCTGTTCTATAAATAGGGAAGAGAAGAGACGGAAAACAAAGGGAAGGGGGATGAGAAAAAATTTCATGTCATATCTCTTTCATTAACGTGCTTATTGCTCGTTGGTCATCTTCTTTTAAAAATAATTCTGTCTGTTTATGCGTCAGTAGTGTAACATGATTTATGTTATGTTCCAGTGGGGGGAATGTCGCGGGGCGGGGGCGCGGGCGCGGGCGGCAAGGCGGCGACGGCGAAGCGCGTGCCGCCGCCCGCGGTGCCCGGCGACGCCTTCGCCACGCCGCACCACCGACACTCGGGCTCCAGCTTTGGATCGCAGGGCTATGCCTCTTGTGAGGACCAGCCTTACCCGCAGCCGCCCGACACGCCGTCTCATACGAGAGGTTAGTATAACAAATTTTAACAAAGACAAGAAAAGTACAAACCTGAGTAATGAAACGCAAATGTTTAGTCTTTTCCGTCTTTAATCTAGCTTGCACTGAGCCAAGATTCAGTTTGCATAATACTTAGTACAAGCACGGACTAAGTCCACCATAAGTCTATTGACGTAACCAGTCTTGGTATCAAGTGCGATAAAATAGCACTCATCGGTTTAGTGTAGTCTACTTTCTCCAATAATAACTCAATATTTCTTACTGTTTCCAGATGACCACTCGGACTACGGCAGCACGGTGTCAGGCGTATCGGGCGCTAGCGGCAGCTTGGGCAAGTCACCGGCGGGCGGGGGGACCTTCACCTTTCCACCGCAGCCGCTCACGCACAAAGCTGCCGTCTACTACCACCACCAGTTGGCTCTTAGTGACGACCAGGGCATTGATATGACACAGGTGAGTGACACAAGATCTATACGTCATTTCATTCCCGTCGGCTACCACGAAGTTGCGAAGCTTTACCGATTAAGGTAGAGCCTTGTAACTCCTTTAGTGAGAGAATGTCACGACGAAGTTTCATTTACAAAGTTTAATGTCTACTGTGATGTCTCTGCAGAGTCCGGGTCGCGACAGTCCCGGGTCTTCATCCGGTTCGGCGGGATCTGGGTCGCGCCACTCGTCCGCGTCGCTCGACAGCGGGCGTGCGTCAGGCCGTCTGCCGCCGCATCACCACCACGCCGCCTGCCACTGCGGGGATACTGACAGAGTACGCGCCATGATCTCACAGGGACTACCAGTAAGTTTAAACACTTATTGATGTGTTAGTTTGCAAACTTTTGATGACTAAATGAGAAATGGGAGACGTCTCTACTAGTCGACTTGCGTAGCCTACTATTTGAATTTTGTGCAAAATAAAAATGACACTGTCAAGTAATTATTGAAACTTATTGACATTAATTTCTAAATATCTACTTTCTACGATGAAGTGTATTTTCTCTTTCGTTATTTGCATATTCGT